ACCCTAAACCCTATAGAACCCTAAAGAACCCTATATAACCCCCCTTTAAGGAGTTTAGTCTATAGCTCATATCAGCTCAGAAATCCACCGCGGGGCTCGCATGTAGTTCCTTTTTCGGGTTTGCTATTGCTTCCGGGTAGGGGATTACAACACACTACCCGAAAAGGAGCTACATAGGAGGTTCTGGGCATAGCCCTAAGAGTCCGAGGATTTGATGTAGCGACTTCAATAGTTGAAGTAGGATTTGGGTTCGCATTTTCATCACCAAAGAATTGCCAAGAGAGGGTGTGTGTGTGTGTGTGTGTGTCTAATTACAGGTATCTACATTGAATGAGAAACACCCTCCCAGGATCATATGGGTATTTTCCAAATGACCCCCCATTTAATCACTAATCAGGACACCCATTCTCCACCTTTGACTTCTAGACCTCGTTTACCCTAAACCCGGGTTACCTACGGGTCGCCTTTTTAAGTTGGAAGCGGCTTGGGACTCTTAGGGACCAGCGAGCTGCCAGTTCGGCAGGCACTCAGAGGTCCTCGAAATCGATGTTTTCCTCAGCTGTGTAGGGGCCTCTCTCGTTTTTCATAGGTTCCCTACCATCGGGGTTTGGGGTTATATAAGGGATATATAGGGATAATGGAAAAGAAAATGGAAACTACTATATTATAATGGGGTATATATTGGGTTTCCATTTTATTTGATCCCCCCTTTACTAGGCTTATTCCAGCAAGCTTGCTGCCAAGAACTCACGGCTTACGGGCTTAGGGCTTTACATCGGGTTTAGGGTTGAGTTTGCCTGCTACCCTTAGACGGTAGTTCCCTCCCTACAGCACACCCTTAATTCCAACAGTACTTTGTTAAATTAGCATCAAAAAGTCCAACCTACGCAGATAAAGACTGGCAATAGTCTACGACTTCACACCTGGGAAATTCCTGGACCTGAAAGGAAGCAACCCAATTGCCTAGGGTTTAGGGTGTAGGGCTTGTGTATCTACCCAAACCTTTTGGGCTACTGGAAAGGAGACCCCAAACACCCTAGGGAGTAAAATGGGAACCCCAAAAAGGGAACCCTACGACTGCAGTGAGAATAAAACGGGAAAGTAAGAACCCTGGTAGATATGTTCTATTATATTCCTACTACATTCCCTTCCCTGCTCTGGGGGTTCCTATTAAATTCTGTTTATAGTGACATCCCGCTCAAAGCGTTGAACGACCCACCCCTGACTGAAACGTTGAGACTCGCGTGCTGACAAGTTACGTAGATGTTCAGATAAGAATAACGTCCAACAAGTAGCCAGGTGCGCGCGCGCGCATCTAAGCCCTGCACCAGCCAACCTACATTCCCCAAAACCTCCCAGATACATCATGCACCCACATCCCCTATATAGTCCCAGGTTCCATGCATTTTTTCTTTCTTGTCCATTAGATTTTCCGCCGTGAGGCATATATATACATATATAATGTACCAAGCATCCTAAACCCTCAACCCTGAGTCCTAAGTTTTTTCCATTTTCTTTGCTCTTTAGCGTTGCCCAAAGGATCCTAAGTACTTGTA